TACACGTATGAGTTTAGCAATGTCTAGTATATCTGACACTGTCGGACTCATGACAAAAAATGTACACATGATGCATATTACACCTGATAGTTTTGAAATTGAGGGTTCCAAGTTACCGGCCGTGTACACTGATACGTTCAGCAGTGAATCGATGTATGAACCTGCATTATGTAATTGTGTAATGAAGAGTTTTTTTTAGCCCAACAGCAAATCTCTTGAATACCTAGACGTGTCACATCACAATACCTCTGACAATAATTCCTTTAGTCATTCTGATGATCAAATTAGGGAAGAACAGATTTGAATAAATGTATTGCATAAAATACTTATGACCAAATTAGATTTTTGAAAACAATTTTACACGGAACACCGCTAGTTAATTATGACTTTAAACTTTGAGAGAATCCATAAAATTAATTGCTCTAAAGTAATTCCCCTATATATTTCATAAACTTAGTTAAATATAACAGTTTGAAAACGACTGACCATAGTTATTTAAGAAAATAAAAGATGTCCTATCGGCCGACTTTTCCGACTCTTTTATTTTAAAAACCTTTTTTTAAACATTGTTCCGTATCAAGTTAGTTTAAAATGTTGCCGGTAGGCAGTACAACATGTTTGGTATAATTCTTTTTTTTTTCTTTTTTTTTTTTTGATCAGGGAAACTGGGATTGTTTTTAGCATTACCTTGTCGGGTTAAAACAACCGTACGCCTGACAAGTGATTTCGACACTGAATTACTACTACGTTAGCCCTGCTTGTTTTGGTACTTTGTCATTTATAGATATTTTAATAATCGGCAAGACGTCAAAATGGCGACATATAGAGGATTGATAATCTCAGTTTAAAATCGATGCTCTTATCTAGTGGAATAAAACGTTTATATTTATGAATATATACTTTTTCATACATAATGCACATAATATCATTTCATTATTTTTTTGCGAAGTTTCCCTTTCAATAGAATAGTGCAAAAATTATTGGTTGAAAACAAAAATCTCTTTGCGTTATTCTGATACATGGTAATATCAATAAGATTTATACAAAAGTCATTTCAAGTCATATGAGTAGCATCTTCACTATATACTATAGTATTGGATGTTGACCATCTTCTAAATATTAGCGTTTAACAAGGAAAGCTCATTTTTTCTATATACTTTTATAAAAATATACTTTCAAATTTCTATTTATTCATGTTTCATATCTCTTTTGGTTAGTTATCAGCAGAATAAAGCCACGTGTTCGTGGTCAGATACTTAAAAGTATCAATGAAGTGCTATGTAACATATTAATAACAACATAATAACATTAATGGTATCAATTTTACTGCACTTGATACAATTTGAAATATCAAAACCTAATGCAAACATTAAAGAGCTGATGAAACCAAACTAGTACAAGAAAACAGAGTTATGCATCAGGAGATACAGTCCTTGATTTTAAATGCTATCCCAATTTTATTACAGCAATTTTTAATAAAACAATATCCCTATTTTCATGCCAGTACTAAAGTACCGGTAATTGGATTGGTGACACCCTCCGGGAATAACAGTCTACCAACAAGGATTTAAATTGCAAACCTAAAATGTTCGAAATAAGGGACGAGCTATTTACCCAAACTTGTTTTAATCCTGGATTAATTAAGTTAAAAATAGTTTTTAAAGTACGAAAAAATTGGTATCTTTATCAGCAAAATGCAAAAAGACCAGCAAAAACAAGAATTAACCTTTTAAATTATTGTATTCTACAGGCAAAGTATTACATTAATTATGTAAAGAACACACAATTAGACAAACTGTTAATATCTGTGCAAGCTTTTCTTAAATTTTTGAAAAGACGTCTAGAGATATTAGAATATTTATATCTTTCTAAAGACAAACACGAGTCATTTGTCGACAGATGGGGGGATTTATGGAAGTTATTTAATTAAATTTATTTTTAATCTGATTATATATTTAATGTATTCCAAAGTATTTTTTAAGATGTATCATATACTGAGTATTCACATCATCAACTTGTAAATTTTTTACTATGTCTTATTCGCATAATATCAATAGTATAACAATGACATAAATGTCATGTCATTCACTTATGTCTTGTAAAAATGTATGTATGCACTGTAGTTTGAACACCAAAAAGATCAATAAAAAATAAAAAAAACCAAGAATTAACCTTGCTCAATAAGTCTCATAAAATGAAAGGTTTTAAGGTGGTACCCAACACCTTGACTAATATTAATTTGGCTCGTTTAATGTTCATAAAATGACAAAATGTGTACTTTGACCCTTTGACAAAAATATAAAAAATTCAAAAAATTTGAACCAACCACTTTATCAGAAAAATTTCGCAGTTTGACAAACCCATATTTTGATCATTGAGAAGCGTAATATTTCCTTAACAATACAACGTAATTAAAACGTTTAGCTGATTTTTACAGAGTTATCTCCCTGTAGTGTTAGGTACCACCTTAATGAATTTTTCTGTTAAAATAACCTTCTGCTAAAATGCATGTAGACCACACAAAGACTGTAATTACTTTAACGTCTCATTCTTGAAGGTGTTACTACATATATTTGCGTAATTATTCATTCAGTTTGTCTCCTAGAATTTTAACCTATAGATATTATTTATTGATTGACAAGCCTAGATACTACATTACTACCGGTCCTATTGATTGTGTTCCAATAGGTTCTCTCAGTCGTTTACACAATGCACAAAAGGGATTCATAACTTTTTACCGTTGTTCTGACTTTGTCTGCAAAAAGGAAGTAATATTGAGTAATTCAAATCGATAGCCTTAGTTCAGAACTGACAATTGAATGCTCAATGAAAATCGCTGAACGGGCTTGCATTGCACGACGAAGAACAGCCGAATTTTGTCTTTAAAATGTTATTATTCATCCTAGAACCTTAAACATTAAACATTAGAATCGCCTGTATAGCATAACAGTAACCGAAAAGCAAGCTTAATGTCCTTTTGTAAGTCAACCCCCTTTTTATTAGCTTTCTAACAAACGACATCTTATCTTATCTTTCAAACTCTGGATGAAGCAAACGTTGATTTGAAAAAAACATAATATATGATGTAGATAAGTTGCTTTTATAAGAAAAATTTACAAAATCGCAACATCTATAACACTTGAATCACCTTGGTGAAATGGTCTTGGCTGTCCCACGGGTGTTGCTATTTGCTACTGTCCGAAAACTGGTTGTACTGGTTTTTGTGGTTATTCCAGGGCATCCTTTGCTGCTTTCCGTTACCACTTTCTTGATTTCCAACATTGCCAACCTCCTCTGTTAGTGCTCTCATTCTCAGTCTGCATTTTAGTGTTTCTGCTGTGTCTTTGGTCGCCTCTTATATTTGATGCGTTTCCCTCAGTTTTAGTTTGTAACCCGGATTTGTTTTTTCTCAATCGATTTATGAATTTCGAACAGCGGTATACTACTGTTGTCTTTATTTCCATTCCAAATTCTTCTAGTCTTCCTTTTATACTCTTTAGATGTATAGCGCAACAAATGAATAAGATAAAATAAGACGATGCGAAATCATGGCGAAATGAATGCAAATGAAACAATTGTTCACCAAAGAACATGGAAAGACGATGCAACAACTTCTGTTGGTATAATTGAGCTTTCCATTTAATATCTGAAAAGGGGGCTGGATGGGAATTTTTTGAAGGGTATCAAACGTCATTTCTTTGGAGTACCGATTGGCTCATAATATATCTGAGAGGTACCAATTTATGGGTTCTAATGGGTCTTTTCTTGTCTAAATATGTAAAACTGAGGGGCTGATGATGGTACGATTTGGCATCTGAGGGTTTTTAAGCCAAGCACTGAGAGATTGAAATTAGCCTATAATATTTCTTGACTAGTTTGAAGCCAAATGCGGTAAAGGTTTGTGAACATCAAAACCAAACAAACCTGAATAGAATAGCCAAAAAGAGTAATGATTATTATGATTAGATTTATAAATTGTTATAGATCATGGCTACCGTATCTCCGGAGGAAGAGAATTTTGTGCGTCATTCCATGCTGCTTACAGGGGTTGCACCAAGAGCCATACGTGTGCTGTTTGACAGAGAATTGCCACCTCCTCTTAGCACATTCGTTCATAATCATTCAGCTAAATTCGATTCACTGAAGTACAACAGAATAATTAACAAATCGCAATGGACAATATTGAATGGTAAGTTAAATTTTATATTCCCACTACAGGCGATGCAGGGTGTTGGTTGTATTGCAATCACCTTGTTCGTTTGTTCGTCCAACACTTTTTTTCGTCATTTATGATATATTAGCATGTTTTAAACTAAACTTGTCAATTATATATTAATAGGTTATGTTTCTTTATGTTTTGAAAACTAAATACTTTAACTACCGTAATGTTTTAGGTATTATTATGGTATAGTGCAGAAAATTTCTGTAAAGATGTCCCAAAATAAAAAAAAAAAAAACAAACGATATAATTGCACGTGTACAGACATCAAAGTAGCTATAGCGGGACGAGAGAGTCAATCGTTGGATATGATATTCAGCAGTTTCAATAATAAAGTTTCTACGAGCATGATTGAAAATCAACCCATCATGGGATATTATTTCTGCAGAAACATTTTGAAGAGCAATATATAGTTTGTAATCACTAGGATGTAAACAAATGGAGTCAGATTGCCTAGTTATGTACATGACATAGTTTTGTTGATGGTTGAGGTTAAAATAGTTCGTAGTTCTATCTATATATATTTAAATACAAATATTACATGCTTCAGCAATACGATACATTGCAAGGACAATATTCCCCAACATTAGTGCAGGTTGTGCTCTGCAGTATGCAATAGTTCATCAAATAATACCGACCTTCCTAATATTTAAAAATCACATACGTAACAGATACGTTTATTTAAAGAACAAGTTGTATTTTAATGTTATATTTTAAGAACACGTTATGGACCACATGTAACGTTAAAACATATGTTTTCTAATCTACTCTTTAAGGAAACAACCCAGTTTCAGAAGATCTAGACTTGACATTAATGGTATGCCTTCTCCGTAACTTTTCCAAAGTTAAACAACCTGGCACAGGGTATGACAAGTTACCACCACCTGCAGATAAAAGCGAAGGAGCTGATTTGGCCAGGATCAAACATTACAGAAACAAAATGGCACATATTGACCAGAATAGAATATCAAATGCAGATTTTGTGAATCAGTGGACAGAAATATCAGAGGTAAATAGATCATTTCAGAAACCCATCTTCCGTCCGCAAAAAATGGCATGTTGCAATCTCAATGTCCTAAACAAACTCACACATTTTTGTATAGGGGCCAGCTGAAGTCCGCCTCCGGGTGCGGGATTTTCTCGCTGTGTTGAAGACACATTGGTGGCCTTAAGCTGTTTTCTGCTCTTTGAACGAGTTGTTGTCTCTTTGACACATTACCCGTTTCCATTCTCAATTTTATTATCATTATAGATACCAGGATTAAATATTTTGTACGCCAGACGCGTGTTTCGTCTACAAAAGACTCATCAGCGATGCTCGAATAAAAAAAGTGAAAAAGCCAAATAAAGTAAGAAGTTAAAGACATTGAGGACTTTTTTTCGAAAAATTCAAAGTTTTCTAAACAGTTTATCTATAATTATTACCAAATCAATGATAGTTAATTTCAACACAGAAGTGCTGACTACTAGGCTATTTGAATTGCTCAATGAGACAATTATCCCCCAAAGAACAAAGGTCAAGGATGTAAACAACACCAAGTCACCAAACGACCTACAAAATGAGCAAAACCACTGTTTATAAAAAGTTATAAAAGACCCCGGGGTAACTAAATGCGAAAAAGTTAGAAGAGAAAACTAACAGTCTGGTCTAAGCTAATACCAGAATACAAAAAAATTAATATGAAAGACGGCAATAGTGACAACAACACGATTACAGGCTCCAGGCTTTGGACAAGCACATACCGTGGCGGGGTTAAACATGCTTGTTGGGACTAAACAAGAGGGTGTAGATGGGGCTCTTCATTTCTCTATTCTTTATTTTTTTTAGACTATTTTCTCTATGCTTTATACTTTTTGCCCATTATTCTCTATTTCGTAAACCCCATCCACATTCTAATTTGGATAAAACACACGATAATCCATGAATATGTTCTGATTTTTTAGTTGCTCTAATAATCTTTAACATTTTAATGAAATATTTTTTACATACGAAGCAAAGCGCAGTTTTTCTGAACGATTTTTAAATTACTATTGAAAAATGTTAAGCGGTTCATCTGTTATGCATTGTTTTCGGCTGTTTCCTGCTCTTTGGTCGGGTTGTTGTCTCTTTGACACATTTCCCATTTCCATTCTCAATTTTATATACTCCAGGCCATTGGAAGATTGGGAGGTTTAGTTCTGGTTCAAGAATGTCAAAATCTCAGAGTAGCAAAGCTTGATCAGTCCAACAAACATATAATGTTAGAGCTAAGGAGGTCTTTCTCACAAATTGAGGATATAACCAGAACGACAGAAGAGCAAGCTAAAAAAATAGAACATATAGAACAGTCGTACGCACATAAGCTGGAGCAAATGGACAAGAAACATGCAATGGATATAAGTGAAATTGAAAAAAAGAAACGTGATGTAATATCTAAAGACCAATACGGTAAGGTTAATGAACAATTCTATAATGTATAGCATAGAACGTGTTTGTTCACCTCTTTCAAGTTAATTCTTTCGAAGGTTTTGTGAGATAGTTTTTAAAATGTTTTGGAACAACGTCAAATATACAATTGAATTGAAGTTCTGGCCATCATCAGTTTTCAAAAAGGAAGGAACAATGATAAGTCTCTGCTTTATATATGGCTATTGAATTTAAAATTGTAATTATTGTATGAAAAATATCAAACAAAACCATTTTTGCTAGCAACTTCGAAACAATAAATTTTTTGAATAAATCGACAAGATTAAGTATACTTAACCATAAAATATGGTAAGAATGATCTCATCGTATTATAAGTTCCTTTGTCATAAAAAAAGAATATACTACATTTCACAGAATTTCTTAACTATGCGAGACGAAAAAAGACCAATGTTGCAATTCATCTTTTTATCGTGCAGTAGTAACGATTTTGAATTTAAAGATACTTCTGTCAACGAATTTGTCGTTTGATTGACAGCTCCGTCTCGCTGGTTACACAAATTTTTAAAATATATCAAATGAATCGTGAAGATACAGTAAAAATAAAATATAATCTCCACATGTACTTTGGCAGGATTACTTTTACTTGAATGGAGACTTATATTTTATTTTCTGAACCGTTCAAACAAAGTACCATTCAAAATTTTTCGAAGGCTTCTTCAATGTTCACGACTTAACCTAATGAACTTTTAGAACCTTAAATATTGATAAAACTGATATTTTCTATTTTCTCTTAAAACTGCTTTGCTGAGAAATAAAATAGACACTGTTAAAGCGGTTTTAACAACTATCATTGATTATTGTATATACTGTCATATAAGTAAATGCTTTAACATTTTAAAAATAATTTAGATTGATATTCTATTTCTTATCGTCAAATGTTTCTTTTTTTTTTTCTTTTTCAGATTTTTTTTCTTCAATTAAAGAAACATGGAAGAACAGAATGAAAACTTTCATAGTAACTGATTGTGTTAAAACAGTTTTGGAAACTGTTCAACAAGAACAATGTGTTATTATTACAGGTCTCCCTGGCATTGGAAAGTCGGTAATAGCATATTATGTAGCTTTTCATCTAGAAACCACACAGGGGTTTGATGTTTTACCTGTTTCATATCCAACAAGTATCATAGATTACGGAAGGAGTAGTTCAAAACAGATCTTTTTATTTGACGATGTTGTAGGGAAATACTCGCTAGATGAGAATGGGGTAAATCAGTGGGAAAGATTTGAAAATAACTTGATACAATATCTTATTGAGAGGCCTGATGTTAAGATTTTGATGACTTGCAGGAGTAATATCTTTGAAGCAAACCAAAACTGCAAATTGGGAATCTCATTAGTTCAATGTAATTTGATGTCTGAAGAATTGAAATATTCTTTGAAAGATTTAAAACTCATTGCGCAGAGATATATTTCAGATGATTTGTTAAAAGAATTGGGTGACGACATAATCAATATGTATCCCTTTTTTCCTCTACTCTGTTCTACATTTGATAGTGAAAGACATAAACCGAACGTTTATTTCAAAGCCCCAAACTCTATTATTCAAACAGAAATTAACAAATTGAAAGCAAAGTCAAACGTGTCGTTCTTAGCATTAGGTTCACTTGTCATATTTGATAACTATGTAGATAAAAATATATTCCGACTTGATAATACACAAGATGATCATATTATAAGATGCTTATGGGATGAATCGAAAAGCACTGTTCCCTTCTCAAAGCATTCACTCTTTTTAGGTATGAAAATACTAAGTGAAACCTATAAATATGTGAAAGAAATGGATACTCATTTTTCATTTATCCATGACAAATTATACGATATCGTATCTTACAATGTTGGACCAACTTTTAAGAAAAGTATATTATTATATGGTAGCAGCAAGTTTATTAAAGATAGGATTCAATTTGCAACATTAAACATTAAATTGAGCGAATATAACATCCTACTTGATAAGGAAGATGAAGCCATTTATTTTCAACGCCTTGTACGTTTAATTGAAGAAGGACAGAACTGGGAAGTGTTTGGAAACTGTCAAACACAAATGTTTTTTTATCGTGAATCCTTCATCAAATTCTTAGAAAGTAAAAGTACAAGGCTCACGTTTAAAAGTTGCTGTGACTCCGGCCATACAGCTCTACATGTCTGCTCGTCATTAGGTTACGTAAACTTCTGTTTTTATCTTTTAACATGTGGAAATATTCCTGTAGACGCACTGGATAATATTGGTAGAACTCCAATGTATCATGCATGTTACAAAGGACATTACGGTGTTACAAAACTGTTATTAAAGCATCGAGCTTTAGTAAACCTAGCAAATCATCAAAAAGTAACAGCCTTACATTTGGCTTGCTATAAGGGACATAAAAATGTAGCTGAACTATTGCTTAAAAATGGAGCCGAAATCAATCAAGTATGCAAAAAACAAGTATCAGCACTCCATTTGGCTTGTCGTGAAGGGCATACGAAGATAGCGGAACTATTGTTACACTACAAATCCGCCGTTAAGAAGATAGACGAATATGGTTGGACTCCACTGGCGATAGCATGCAATATCGGCAATATAGAACTCTCTAAACTTTTATTGACGCATAAGGCACCTATTAATCAACGACAGAAAGGTAAAAGTACTCCTCTAAAAATGGCATGCGCAAATGGCCATAAAGAAATTGTTGAACTTTTATTAGCAAACTCTGCATCAGTTAATGATGCTGACTCTGATGGATGGACACCTCTAGATATGGCCTGTATAAATGGTGATAAACATATTGCTACACTTATACTCAACCATCGTGCGTCAGTTAATAAGACCAACAAACATGGAGATACTCCTTTGCATTTAGCTTGTCAATATGGACATCAGCATATAGCGAGACTTTTACTGTCTCATCATTCACCAGTTAATCGGGCCAATAAGGAACTAAGAACACCTCTTCATACAGCATGCTTCAATAATCATACTGATATGGTAGAATATTTGTTAAACGTTGATTATGTGCTTGTTAATGTAAAGGATATATACGGATGGAATTCCCTCAGTATAGCTTGCTATATAGGAAGCAAAGATATATCTGAACTTCTACTAAAACAGAATATTCCAGTTAATCACGCTAACAAAGATGGAATTACACCCTTATATCTTGCTTGTGAAAATGGTCATAAAACTGTTGTTGAATTATTGCTAAAATACCGTGCCTCAGTAAATCAAACTAACAAACGGGGTTGTACCCCTCTGTATATTAGTTGTCAGAGGGGTTATATAGACGTAGTGTCAGTTTTACTATTAAATAATGCTTCCGTGAATACTGCTAATTATGAACATTGGGCACCACTTCATATATCCTCCATCAAAGGTCACAAATTTATAGTGGAAAAACTACTCGAATGTCATGCATTAATTAATCAGAGTGGAAATAAACTGTGGACACCTCTACATTTGGCTTGTAGTGAGGGTCACAATCATATAGTGGAATCACTACTTAAATACGATGTAGATGTAAATCGAAGTACAGCTAACGGATCTACTCCACTTAAACTGGCTTGTCAGGAGGGATATATTGAAATAGCTGAACTTTTACTATTAAACCATGCGTCAGTTAATCAGGCTGATAATAATAATTTCACACCGCTCCATATAGCTCGTGAGAATGGTCATATTGATATAGAAAATTTATTACTGAAATATGATGCCACAGAAAATCAGTACCAGAAATACCAGATCTAAAATACGGTTTTAACTCGTATGAAACACCAGCTTTCTTCACGTATGCATTAATGAACAAAACAACCACTGCTTTAATATCACTGCCCCAGGTAAGTGGGAGGGTTGAGCGCTCATCAAAACATGTTTAACCCCGCCACATTCGGTATGTGCCTGTCCAAAGTCAGGTGCCTGTTGTTCAGTGGTTGTCGTTGGTTCATGTTTGTCCTATTTTTTTTCGTAAATTGTTTTGTTTTAAATTAAGCCGTTAGTTTTCTCAATTGAATTGTTTCATATTCTTATGCCGGTGCCTTTTATAGCCAACTATATGGTATGGACTATGGATTTGGCTTTTTGTAGCTAACTCCATAGTCTTCAACAAGAGGCATTTCAATGATAATCCCATCGGCATTTACGTTCGATCTTCTCATTCTACCAAACATGTTATATATTTTACGGATATATTACCAAAATATATCTTTAAGATAAGGCTTTAATAAAAAAAAAGATTTCCAAATGCTCTTATGTAGATAATAATGATTATATATAGTCCGTTTGACTTTTACATATTTACAGAAAGAATTTCTTAAAATTATTTACTTATTATTTCATATCAACATTATATTTTCTTGAAGTATGTTAATAATTGATAATTGATATTTATATATTATACACAGTTTGACTACTAATTTGTGGTCTAATATTTAATTTATTTTTGACGATGTCAAATGAGTCCCGTTATGCGTATTAATTTGCACGAGTGTATCCACTAGTGCGTTCTGAGTGGGAATTTAAATCATTCGACGGTTTGCATTCAACCAGCCTACACGTCAAAAAACAGTTTGGTCTTTTTGACTTTTTATTAATAAAATATGTTTCATTTCTATTTTCTTTCACACGAATACAACCAACTTTATTGAATTGTACAAAAATTATAGATGCACATCTATCATGTCTATGTACACTGTCCAATTTACATTATTTTTTTGTTTTGTTTTACCTTAATTCATATGATAGCGAATTAATTGTAATAGTTTGTAATTGTATTTTGAATATTGTTCAGACTTTTTTTTTTGGCGTAACACCTGCCATTCTTAAATTCTGTTCACAATTGTATATTTGTGTATGTTGCTTTATTAAACGACTGGATGGTGCAAACCTACATTCCACAGACTATTTGTGTTTTGTTTTATTGATCTCTGTAAAAGAAATGCTTTATGTTCGGTTTAACCTGTGAAATAGAACATACTTAGTCTTTTGATTTAGTATCTTTTTTAGTAAGACTGCCTGTTGTCCATATTTTACATTACAATAATTTATGTAAAATAAATATTTTATGTCGTGTTTTATGATGTTTTAGTGAACTCACAGATGCAATTTTTGCGCTAAAGGTACTATGACATATTTAATATATTGTTTCACTCGATTTGAACGCAGTGTATTAGAGTTAAAATGTTATCTCTTGGATTTTCATACAGTTAAGGTCAAGGAACAGTAAATGGGCTATGTCACAGATTTTGCTAACATTTTGCATATAACCTTGGCTCGTTGAACTTTAACTTAAAATCGAAAAAAATAGTGCATTCATCTCTTTTATTATCTAACATATTACTGATTGAATTCTTTTAAAATAGGTTGACATTTGTATAGAAAGCACATGAAATCGGCGAATAACCTTCTTAAATTTTTCTTAAAATCTTCAAATCTCTAATTTCTAATACATACATAGATTTTTCTTTTAAAAAAAATGTTTACCAAAATTTGTGACATAGCCCATTTACTGTAACTTGACCTTAAGGTGTCATGCCTAATGCACGGTCGTTTAACCGCTGAAACGTATACAGCGTGTCACGTTCTTAATCGCCCCGTGTCTAAAAGCTTTAAAATAAATTAACATAGATCATCAAAGATCTGCCACAAGAACCATATCCCCCCCAAAAACTCAAAATATATAAAAGGGAGGCGAAATATACCAAAGGGACATTCAAACTCATAAGTCGAAAATAAACTGACAACGGCATGCCAGAAAAAGAAAGAGACCAAAGGACAAACAACTGTACACAAAACACAACATAGAGACCGAGCAACACGAACCTCACCAAAATCGTGAGTGATCTCAGGTGCTCCGAAAAGGAAGGCAGATTCTAACAAAAGAAAACAGCTAACGAGTATCCCGACTTGGAACAGACATGTGAAATTAAGAAAGAGTTGGTAAACTGATTTTTCGACTTTAGTAATCCTCTCCCTTTTTTATAATATGGATCAGTGGAACAGCAAACTGTACGTACATAAATGAATGCAATAAATATCAGAACAATGAAAAGAAATTAACACTACGATAACGATATGCTAGATGATTGTCTTACTATAAAAACAAATTGTGATTAATATTCGAAGATGACATTAGGATTTGTTCAATAACATTCTTGTGTTGCTAAAGGTACATATACCAATGGGAAAATGATATTCTGATATTACCACTGGGTTGATAGCTATGCTGTTGGACTGTTAGCCCCCGAGGGTATCACCAGACCAGTAGCCAGTAATTCGATTCTGGCATGAAAATACGGATATTTTTGTTTGAAATTTTCTGCTATAAAATTTTGGAAAATCTTTAAAATTAAGGAAAATATCTCTCTCGTCCAAAGCTCTGAACCCTTGTCCGAATTTGGCTATACTGTATGTCCTTTTTTTATTTTATCAGCTCTTTAATGTTAGTATTTTGTTTTAGATTTCAAATATTTTGGCTTTGAGCATCACTGCATTGACGTTAATAGTCGAAAGGCGCATCTGGTGCAATACGACTGGATTATAAATCGAGAATGTTTGCAATAATTGAGCAAAGAATGAAGTCGTTTTTGCTAAATATAACTGAGTTTTAGTCCTTATATGATTTCCCAAACATCTTCATTGATAAACATGTCTGCCTTTACACAACCTGTGTTTTTCTAATTCAAGTAGCTAAACCATATTTTAGGTGGTGTAACAAACCTTCATATTGTGTTAAAACCGTTTAATATTTTAAAGCATCTAGCACCATTGATATAATTATGGTAAGCAATAGGTTAATCTATTAAAAGTTTTCAATACTATAAATAGTCTACCGGGAGCAAGACAAAAGGTAGCAATAGGAAACAATACAGTTAAACATTTGAAACAAAATGTGTTATGATTATCGATTCTTGGAAGTGCAATCAGTGGTATTCTTTTTGTAGTGTAACCTAACATAAGGAGTGGCAGCTGATAAAAAAAAGTAGAATGAAATCTATGAAACAGAAGTAGTACATAAAATACGAAAATGAAACGGTTTGAATGACAAGCTTATTAAAAAAGACATTGAAAATGTTTAACCAACAATGTCAGTGTTGCGTCCATAGTAATATAATGTTTGGTCATGACCTTCACCAAGCGTGTAGTAACCGTTGCCATGGTTATCCCAGGATACAGCTTCACCTTTTGGTTCCTGTATATATGGAACAGTAATGGGACTAGAAGCCGAAAGCGCCAAGAGAACCATGCCATCCGGTATCTCAAAGTGGTACATGGCATTATGGGTAATTATTAATGCTTCTTTTCCGTTAGGTGATATATCCCCACCAGTCGGATCCTTGCCTGTTAATGGTATATTTAGGTTTACAAGGTCTTTCAAAACTACCGTTGCATGGCTATTCCATCCAGTCATTGGCACATGTGCAATTTTAGGGTGTACTTCTATTCCAGAGGCTCTTGATATTATGTAAACTTCACCCTTTGGGTCTACTAAGAGAGTTTCACAGTCTGACTCATTCCATCTGCAAAATGAAGTAGAAATAATTTATATGATTAAAAATGTTGATGTAAGAAAATTTATTTTTCTAAAAGATATAATATCTTTGCTTTGCATATAGTTCATTTTTTAAACTTTATATAACCCATTTCATAATTTTGATTTTCGTTTAAATAATTTCCCTAATTTTTTTTATGTCTTGGTTCATATTGCTTAATCTTCAGTTTCCCGATTGTGTTGTGGACTTTTGTCAATTTGTCTTTTTTCTTTAAACCATGGTTTTGTTTTTTATACCATATTTTAATATTCTTAAATCCTCTTTAAAAACTTTAAAAAGTTAACATTATTTAAATTTACAAAAAGAAATCCTAGTATATGTTTTGAAAGCTGGAAATATTAAAGATCACATGAAGAGAATGGAATATTGGAATGAATGCACACACTTTTATGATTACTATACATTTTTTTTCTTCAATAAATTGAATTGGTTTAGACAGAATAAAAGGAGATGTGGGGTATAACGTCAATAAGACATAAGACATCAACACAACAACAAAAATATATCATATTTGTTTTTCGTTCATTATTTTGTACATTAATCAGGCCGTTAGTTTTCTCGTTTGAATTGTTTTACATTTATCATTTCGGGGCCTTTTATAGCTGACTATACGGTATGGGTTTTCCTAGTTGTTGAAGACCGTGCGGCGTAGTTGTTAATTTCTACGTCATTTGGTCTCTTGTGGAGAGTTGTCACATTGGCAGTCATACCACATATTCTTATTTTTATAGAATACATTCAGAGGGCAACATACAATCTTCAACAATAGACAGATGTCTATACACAATGGCTGAGTGGTCTAATTAGTTGATCTACAGTGTTTACTCGCCTGTCAAGGTGAGTTCAAACCCGTTTGTGGAAAGGTGTGTTCGACTCTGGTCTTAATTGACTAGGATTGCCAGTTTTACTGCCTAAGGTCTGTGTTCTCTTCTGGTACTCCGGCTTCCCCCGCCAATACAGACTGGACGTAATATGATATTATTAACATTACCGGTAAATAAAAAGAAAGGGTTGCTTGCAACCACTCAGTCAAAGGCGTGAATATTTAAAATCTAAATTATCTTTTGTTTTAGATTTTAAAAGCGTAATAAACTTTTTAGTGGGTGTTAAATACACCATTTATTTTACTCTGAAACCAGTGGTGTGCCTTTGAAAGGCAGGATCTTCACACAAGACAAGACAAGACAAGACTATCCGCAATGATGTATCTAAAAATGCTGAAAATGGCATTAAGCACCTATCAATAAGCCTGACTCTGAACAGTTTATTGATCTATAATAAATGTCTTTCAAAATAACTTACACTTACGAAAAGTGGAGTTGAGCATCAATGTCAGCATGGCCGTTATGGTCAATGGATGGTCAATGGAAACAGGTTCTTGGATTCTGTATAATACGTTAGTATGTTTGGTTCCGTCATTGCCTATATCACCTGTCAAAATGAGGGTAAAAAAGTATTATCAAAATTACCAAACTCCAAGGTAAATTCAAAAAAGGGGGAAGTTCATTAAAACGGACAGAATCGATCGTTAGACTATATTATTATTATTCTATTTTACATGTATGTTTCATTAGAATCCGCAGTTTGGCAGGTAAAAATCACGTGGCATTCCAAAATTGTATTTAACTTCCTAGTTAATTGCAACATCCATGACTGCACGTGCTTCCCTTGACATCGTCACAATTATGGAGTTTAATATTCCTCTTAAATGACAATTTTACCCATTTTTGCGTTTTGATATAAAACAAAAATCACTAACAATAGAAGATAGCTACAAACTATAAAAAAAAACTAAGTCGATTTAAGTCATGATTTTTGTTCTATTCAATACAGTTTGAGAGTGGTCATTGTTAAAGATGCACAGTGTTCCAGGTGAGCGACATGCACTTGCTCTTTAGAGCCTCTGATAACTTATATAATTTGGCTAATACCAATATCACTGCTATAAACTTACCAATATAAATACAGTTTCCTCCTCCCGGACAAGGTCCACAAGCAATGTCCTCCCAATCTGCATTGTGGGCTCCTCTAATTGTGATGGTTGATACTCTGTGTCCTGTCTTTGAGTTCAGAACGTAGATATGGCTACCATCCCCGTGATCGTTGTGTGTGTACAAATATCCCGGATGTGAACGGCTGGCAGATATTCCAGATGTTTGATCAATTTGATTCGAATTTACGACAGCTACGGCAGTACCATTTCTGAAAACACCAATACCTAGAAACAAGTATAGGCCGTATGAGATACCGTATATAAATCTTTAAACATTATTGAAAATAAATATTTCATAAGTGACAGCTTATGATGGCTTTTCTCATTTCGATACAAATTCTAGAAATGTTTCCCGAA